ATTGTCAACGAGTTGGGTTTCCACAAGGTGTCTGCGAGGTGGGTTCCGCGACTGCTTTCAGTTGAACAAAAAAGGACGCGATTGACTATTCACGCGACTGTTTGGAGTTATTTGAGGCCGATGCAGATGATTTTTTGAATCGTTTTGTTACTATGGACGAAACATGGGTTCATTACTGTACACCGGAAACAAAACAACAATCAAAACAGTGGAGAAGACCTGGTTCACCACCCCCTAAAAAGCTAAGTCGATTTTGTCGGCAAATAAGGTGATGGCTTCAGTATTCTGGGACTCGAAAGGTGTGATTATGATTGATTATCTTGAAAGGGGTCAGACTATAAACTCTGATTACTACTGCACCTTACTACGTCGTTTACGAGAGGAAATAAAAGAAAAACGTCGAGGAATGCTCAGAAGAAAAGTCCTGTTTCATCAAGATAACGCCCGTGTTCACACGTCAGTACAGTCAATAGCTGAAATTCACAACTGTGGCTTTGAACTGTTACCGCATCCGCCGTATTCACCTGATCTGGCACCATCAGACTTCTTTCTGTTCCCTAACCTAAAAAAGCACTTGGGAGGTCAAAGATTTTCGACAAACGACGAGGTCAAAGCAGCTGTAGACGCATATTTTGACTCTAAGGAAGAATCATTTTTTTTCAACGGTCTAAATGCTTGGAAGGTGAGGTGGCAAAAGTGTATTGAACTTGATGGTGATTATGTAGAAAAATAAAAATATAACTGATTTAGTATGTGTTTATTTTCTTGGTTAGGCCGAGTACTTTTCAATCCACCCTCGTATATGGCCGGCCCATTGCCACTGCAGCTTACTAATCCGTTGCGCTATGTCGGTCACTCTGGTTCTACTGCCATGCTGCATGCATTTCCACTATGCTGCTTCAGTTTCCTTTTTTACATCTTCTCTTAATATACGTAAGTTCTTTTAATACATATTTTTAAGTAATACATATTTTAATTTTTAGGCATTCATATTTTGTTGTAAAGTTTTTCATCACTGTCGAGTTTGTTGTAAACCAGAAAAATTTGCTGATAACAAATACGTGTTTATGTCTACATCACCCAGATTAGACTTCAAGGGTTAAACTATTCACTACTATTTTTCCGCCCTTAGCCTTAAGTGTAAAATTCAACTCTTAAGGCTAAGGGCGGGAAAATAGTAGCGAAGCTTAAAAGATTTTCTAGTTGTTACCTTGCTTGTTACCTTGTTTGTTGCTAGCTTAATATCACGATTATTTATTCCTAAATAAAAAGGGTAAAAAAAGTACTTTCAATAAATATAAAAAAATAAAAGCAGACTTCAAACTTCTCAACTTCAAATACAAAAAAACTTCACCTTTATTTTGCCACCTTATAGGGTAGGGAAAGTAAAAAGTAAAAAAAAGAAAAATATATGGAACCACTCATGAAGTATATAACCTATATAATAAAAAACAAGAATCGTCAAAATGGTTTCACAATGAGAGCATCACGACTTTTTCTGACACCAGAGCGGTGCCATTTAGAAATGAGCTAATATTTGAAAGATTTTATTATGGGGAAGTTAGTTTGTTTAAAAAATGTAAATGTTAATGTTTTTTTTCTGTACTATTCGTTATGTTTTATATTAATGAGATTAAAAATAAATAAACTAAATCACAGATATTAATTAAAGAAGAAAAAAAATTAAGATAAAAATGTGCAAAAAATAAATAGCAAGCCACTGAGGAATTTTGTGTATAAATCTAAAAATTAGATGTTTCTAGCGGCGTTAGAATCTTGCCATCCTCTCTCTTCCCGTAGATGTCGTACGAGGCGACTAAAGGCGAAAAACCAAAAAATTACAAGTTTTGGCATCCGACAGATGACGGAATAACGTACAATGGACGAAATCTGCGGCACGACGAGAACATTGCAGAATTAGAAGTAGAGTTGAAAAATGTAAGATGGTATGTTCTGGGGTTGAGTGAATTTCCAAGGGAGGGAGAGGACACACTAATCCTGGAATTAGGCTACCCACTCTACTATCACGATGGACATGATCTTTCCCTGGGTGGAGTGGGCTTAGATAGATAGAAAATTCTTTATTGCACTCAAACAAAACGATTTGGTACAAAGGCGAACTTAATGCCGAAAAGGTATTCTCTGCTAGCTAACCTTTGGTAGTGTGGTAAGAGCTATGGGAAGAGCCGCGAGAGAAAAAAACTTCTTTATTCATACTATTCAAAACGTATTGTATAACATTCTGTATATGTTAGTTGGGCTTCCTCGTCAATAGAGTTCTCTGTGACAACATTTTAAAAACTAACTGAAAAATATACTGTAAAGATTGTACAAGTTTACGCACCAACTATGACACACTTGGACGATGAAGCTGAAGCTATGTATGAAGACATAGCGAAGGCTTTACACAACACCGTTAAAGCTCACTTTAATCTCGTTATGGAGGGCCTTAACGCCAAAGTTGGAAAACATACAGGTGTTGAATCGATTATGGGACCGCACGGTTTTGGTAGCAGAAACCACAGGGGGAGAATGCTGATCAACTTCCTCGAAAAGGAGGCTTCATCTAATGAATTCCTATTTTCAAAAAAGCCCCAAAGGAAGTGGACATGGCGCAGCCCCGACAACGTGACAAAAAATGAGATCGGCTTCATCGTAACAGACAAAAAGTACATATTCAGAGATGTCTCTGTGATTAATAGGCTTAATACCGGAAGCGAGCACTCTGAATATCAATTTCAAGATTGAAAAAGTTCGTCTCATGAAGGCTACGCTCTGGCCTAATACCTTTCAAACCGTAGCGGAATCCCAGCGTTTCCAGTTGGAGCTCCGGAATCGATTCGATGCCCTAAAACCCACATTGCACATTGACGAGTATCTCACTAGTGTGGTTAAGATCTTAAGAGATGAGGGGAATAGGTTATGTAGTAGGCAACATATAGGCCTGAAGTCTAAGCTCTCAGACGAGAAACTTCATCTTATGCAAAAGCGACGTGAGGCAACAACAGCCGCGCTATCAGAACAGCTGGCACTCACAAGACTCGGTAAAAGAGCTGTGCGGCGGGACCCGCGGCGCTCTAATGCAACCCTTATTCAAGAAGGAATAGAGCGAAACAAGGGTCCCAAAGTCTGCTCGGACGCTTAAGAGGAGCTACATTACAAAACCTGAGATCCTCGCTGAGGTCGAAGGCTACTACGGTACATTATATGCCTCCTAAAATTAGCAACCTGACCCCAAATACGACGATCCCAGTGCCACACTAACCCGCCACTTTACCGACGGACTGCCGGATCTGTCGGAGGAGGAGGAGATCGAGTTGGCCCTCAGACAACTTAAAAATGAAAAAGCTCCTGGAGAGGACGGAGTTACAACAGAGCTCTTGAAAGCGGGGGGACAACCATTGCAAAAAAACTGTGAAATTTTTAACAGATTTTTACGATACGGGAGAACTCCAAAGGCGGGGAGCACAAGCATCAGTCTTGTTTTACAAGAAAGATGACAAGACAATGTTAAGGAATTATCGGCTCATCTCGCTTCTAAGCCACGTCTATAAGTTGTTTTCAACGGTCATCACGAATCGACTTGCGCGGAGACTGACGAATTTCAACCACCCGAGCGGGCTGAATTTCGAGGAGGTTATGACACCATAGATCACATCCACAAATTATACATAAGATGAATGAGTATAATCAGCCTCTGTGTCTGGACTTTGTTTTTTGAGCTGTTATAAATTCCTTGCAGCGTTGCCGGATTGACTGGCGATATATAGATGTTTTGAGACATTTAAATACTACAAGCTCGATGTCTGTCCAAGTACAGGGTGGTCTTACAAAACCTGTCCAGTTGCATCGTGGAGTGAGACTGGAGGACACAATAACGCCGAAACTATTGAGAAATGCACTGGCAGATGTTTTTAAGACGCTAAAATGAAATGGACACGGCATCAATATAAACGGCGAACACATGTCACACTTACCTACGCTTTGCCGATGATATCGTCATGGCAGAATCACTGCAGGAATTACAAGACATGCTGAGCAGCCTAAATGAATCCTCGTGTTGTCGTGTCGGTCTGCGTATGAACTTAAATAAAATATCATATTTAAGTCATATTTAACAGTCATGTCATACCAGATCCGATTATTGTTGATGGTGAAATTATTGAAGTTGTTCAAGAGTATATCTATCTCGGCCAAATAATGCAGTTAGATAAAAACAACTTCGAGAAAGAAGCCGATAGGCGGATTCAGTTTGGCTGGGCAGCGTTCGGGAAGTTTCGGAAGGTCTTCTTATCGCCCATACCGCAAAGCTTGAAGACGAAGGTCTTCGACCAGTGCGTTCTGCCAGTACTCACATATTGTGCCGAAACGTGGACTCTTACGGTACGACTTCTCCACAAACTCAAAGTCACCCAGCGGGCGATGGAAAGAGCTATGCTCAGAGTTTCTCTGGTGGATAAGATTCGTAAGGAAGAAATCCGCCGGAGAACCAAGGTTACCGACATAGCATTCCGAATTTGCAGGCTGAAGTGGCAATGGGCTGGTCACATTTGTCGCAGAACCGATAATCGTTGGAGTAGGCGTGTCATAGAGTGGAGACCGCGTTTAGGTAAACGTAGTGTGGGACGCCTCCTGGCTAGATGGAGCGACGATCTGCGCAAGGCGGCTAGCAGCAACTGGATGCGTGAAGCCGAAGATCGGGCTGTGTGGCGCGCCTTGGGAGAGGTCTATGTCCAGCAGTGGACTGCCGTAGGCTGATGATGATGTATAAGCTGACAATGGGCCTCTCCCGTTTTGTTTATTAGTCGTCACGCTTCCACTTCATTTCACGTGTAAAGTGTTATCTCTTTAATCGAATTCGTATAACAGTCGAGAGCCACATAATTGTTATAGATAAGATATCCTTCATTAGCAGTTTTTATGTCGTACGGATTTACGTATAATATCACCAACGATTTTGCATTTTGTTATTATAAATAAACGCATTGTTGTATTAAATTATGGGTTCAAATCAATCGTTCCCTGGTCTAACGGAAGACTTGTTAGAAGACTATTCTTCATTAACGTACTTAAACAAAGGAGAAATATTGTAGTAAGTACAAGGATTTAACATAATATTATTTTTAACGACGTATTTTTTGTCATGCTATTGCATTATGAACAGTGTAATTGAAGTGTTGTCCGTTTGATAATAATCTAAGTAAATCACTATAATGGACAAGTCGAACGTCTTCTTTCCTTCTCTATTAGCATAATATGTTTTCAGCACTGTATTTATATAGTGCAACGTGCAACTGTTATTGTCCGCTAATCATGAATGATTCTTTCATTTGACCCGAATCGGATAAAGGAATGATGATTGTAATTATCCATTAGAACGATCGATCCGAATGACCCGGTTCGTAGGACGAATCAATACTTGATTGATCGGGCCTCCAGAAACGAATGACACATGTACACTTGGGCCTTTTCTATAGATAGGTTTCGGATTTGCCGTAATAATGATGCCAGATGCTTCCTATATTTGTGATGATCTCCGTACCTGATCTAAATATTTTAGTTGTGGAATTTTAACTTAACCCTTAAGTTTACGTAGTACTTAAGTTATTCATAAACATTTTTAAACACTTGATTAGTTAATATAGTGATGTGATTTTCTAGCAATAAGTGTCTCGCTAATGTCAGAATAAGACAAAACACTATTTAACTAATCAAGCTTTTAATTTTTTTATGAATAAGGGGGGTAATTAATAAATAGTACATATTATCAACTCAAAAAAAGAGCTGGTGGTGATGATGGAAAATCATTGTTCATTATTATCAGCGCGAGTGCTCACCAACTCGCTTGTCCTGTGCAATGAGTAGTATAAACTAGTGGATATAGTGATTTCTTTAAGTAATACAATTCCATGTAACATTCTTGGAGAGGCTATGGACTTGAAGCAGATAGATACTATTAGGAACTATTTCTGCATCATCAGCTTGTAACATCTACGGTTGCACATGGACCATTTTCTGTTATGTGTATTGTAATTATATAATGTATTTTGGTACCTAGTTTTAAATTGTGTAAAGTACCTACTTAATTAGTAGATATAGTTTCTCTTTTTCTTTTTTTATTGTCCTTAATTTGACCTTACCAATATCTATATTTATTCCATCTTTCTTAGGTTTGACTAGTAAGGGCGTTGTAACCCCTAGTTGAAGGTGTGGTGCAATAAAGTATAAATAAATAAATAAACAAAATTATCTGTGTCGAAGGTTTTTGCCATAGTCGACTCTTTCGGCAGGCGAATGGTCTATATTTGACGCTGTCTCTGCTGATTTTACACTTGGCTTGCACTAAGTGGTGTTAACGCCATCTATCGGAGCACATGAGATTTTTTTGGTATTTCCCACACTCGCATTTTACACCGAGGGGACGAAATGGGGTTATGGACACCCTTGCGCTGCCACGCCACGAAAAATTATATAAGTAATAAAATATATGCAATCTGGGAGGTAAACTTTTCTCAAAAACTTAATCGTTTTTCAGTTTAATGAAAAAGTTCTATTCGATCGACCCTGGAAAAGTAGATGCAGATTTTCATCATAGATTTGAAAAAGAAATTATATTAAAAAAGTTTGATGTTTTAAAGGTACGTTATCTAAAATTTTTGGTTATTTAAATTCATAATGGTTTGCCTGTAAAACTTTTTGAAACGTCCGAATAAATGTATGGTTCGGCCACGGCGGCGGCCAGCCTCAACGGAGACTAGTCATCGGCGCAAGACAGGACTACATTATATAAAAGTAGTCTGTGATTATAGTTCCCAAGTAGCGTTGCCAACTATGGATTTTTCCGTAGGTCTACGGATTTTTATCATCGTCTAAAGAACTACGGAATTAGAGGTTGAAGTCTGCGGAATTTTTAAAAACTTAACAAGAAAACATTTTTTATCATGAATGTGAACTTATCGACAACCGATAAACGGTTAACAATCGAAATCTCAGCGGGAAAATTGTATTTGACATATAATTCCGCCATTATACTATCTTACTATTAGAACTATATATTTCCGCCATTATAGTATCTTACTATTAGAACTATATATTCCCTCACTCATAGACCGATGGGGCGGTAAATCGACACGACCGGAGATCGATCAGGCGCAGGATCAACGCTTTACGTGCTTTTGGAGGCACGGGGGTGACATACCGCCAACTTCCTGACTCCGTATAACTCTGGAAAAGAAACTCTCAGTTCTTGACGGATAACCCAATAACTGATTTTTTGACGGGACCCGGGATTCGAACCCGGGATCAGCAATCGCGTTTAAAACCACTAGACTAACGAGGCAGTCAGTTCGTGGTAATAATATCATTTTATGACATGTAGGTAAATTTCCTCACGATATTATTATTTACATGTTGTTGAGACAGTATATAAACAAAAGTATGTCACAGTTCCCAGCATCGTGACGTTCAAGTTAATGCCACTTCTTTTAGTCGGATTTCACTATCTCCTAATGAGATATTTTAACACGGCACAACAACTCAACCGTGCAATTGGCTGGGAATAATTTAAATAAATCTAATAAAATGTTATGACTATGTAGTGATGGAGAAAGAATATTCAATACAGCTACACTACCAAATTTCGTCCCGTGGTTAAACTCTTACGGACGCCACACACGGTTAGTTCCTTCTTAGTCTATACTTTAATCCATAATTTTGACAGCAAAAATGATTACATCTGTTAGCTACTACTAAAGAATATTTTTGCTACATTTTTTCACCAGTCGAGAAAAAAAACACAAAAGTTTTAAACAGAATTATATTAAAATGAGTGACTGCAAAAAAAAATAGTTCAAAAATGTTTTGATTTGCCTAAAACGAAATAACATAGACGAAGCAAATGCAGTTTCTACGACGATGTCTGGATGAAAAGTTTTTCGTTCATGAGACCAGACCCGAATAATAATTATAAAACACAAAAAAGGCTACAAAAAAACTGTATTTTGTAGCTATTGTAGCTGTCCCGATGTGAAGACCAAATTCCCGATTATTTTTACCTTTCGTCCCGAAATTTTACTTGCTAGACCTGGCAACACTATTGTCAACCCACCTGCGGCCTGATAACTACGGTAAATGATGTGAAATGATTACGAGGCAGTCCAGAAGGGAGGCCTATGTTCAATTTTAGGATTTTCGATAGGCCTGTAACGATAGGTAATAGTAAAGTGTCCTCTTCTCTAGCTCTGTTCGCTCCAAGTCTCCAATACCCTTTCAGAAATAATTTTAATTCACCTGGTGTTGCGGTTAATCATGGGCGGCGGTAGTCACTTAACATCAGGTGAACCGTATGCTCGTTTGCTCTTCTATTAAAACAAAAATATATAATTTTGGTATCTGTCCTGCTGCGAGACATTTTGATAGAAACACCTAACATAACGTACCTACTTTGTTTCAGAATAATCCTTTCCAAGATCGTCTTTTTCGCGTTTTCTCTTCTAAGAACGATGATTGTTTCTCTTTTGAGGATTTACTAGATTTGTGTTCGGCTATGAGTTCAAAATGTCCCACGGATGTTAAAGCTTCGTGGGCGTTTAAAGTGTTTGGTAAGTTTTTAGCGCCATTTTAGCACAGGAATGGAATTTAAACTAAAATTGACATGAGTAATTAACACACTCTTAAAAATATGTGTAAATATCAATGCCATACTAGTAGAACCTAGTTTTTTAAGACAATATCCGTATACCCCTTGGCTTCACTCAGCAGTGGGTGCAAGAGAAATTCCTGTATACCTGCGTCATCATCATCATCATTATCATTACAGCCCTTCACAAGTCCACTGCTGAACATAGGCCTCCCCCAAGTAACGCCACAAAGCACGGTCCTGAGCCACCTGCATCCATCGACTTCCTGCATGTCTTACCAGGTCGTCACTCCATCTAGTGGGGGGTCGCCCTACACTACGCCTACCGGTACGAGGCTGCCACTCGAGAACCTTTCTTCCCCATCGGTTATCGGTTCTTCGAGCTATATGGCCGGCCCATTGCCACTTCAGCTTACTAATCCGTTGGGCTATGTAGGTCACTCTGGTTTTACTGCGAATATCCTCATTTCTGAGTCTATCACGCAGAGAAACTCCGAGCATAGCCCTCTCCATAGCTCGCTGAGCGACCTTGAGCGTCCAGTAGCTTGAAAACGTCTTCCAACGCAGCGGTGAAGAGTTTCGGGGATATAACATCACCCTGTCTTACACCTCTCTGCAGTTGAATAGGTTTCGAACTCTGGTTCTGTACTCGGATAGCCATCGTAGCCCTACTATACAAACACTTCAGCACTTCGATATACCGACAGTCAACTTGGCACCCCTGAAGGGACTGTAGCACCGCCCAAATTTCGACGGAATCAAAGGCTTTCTCATAGTCCACATATGCCAAGCAAAGTGGCTGATTGTACTCTTCGGTCCTCTGTACAATCTGCCGCAGGGTATGTATGTGGTCTATGGTACTGAAGCCTTTTCGGAAACCGGCTTGTTAGGGAGGCTGGAAGTCGTCAAGTCTGCGTGCGAGACGATTCGTAATGACTCTCGAAAATAGCATGTAGACGCCGCTCAGAAGGGAAATCGGTCTGTAGTTCTTCAAGAGAGCGTTGTCGCCTTTCTTAAAGAACAAGACCACCGCACTTCTGCTCCATGCCTCCGGAGTAGTGCCACCATGGAGGACGGAATTGAAGAGCTTCTGAAGGACTTCAAGTACCGGTGTTCCACCCGCTTTCAGAAGCTCCGCTGTAATTCCATCCTCGCCCGGAGCCTTGCCGTTTTTAAGGTGGTGGAGAGCCATTCTAATCTCGTTTAGACTGACGTCCGGAGTATCATCGGAATAGTGTCGGATAAGACTTGCTCTTGGATCGTTACTCACACTTGCGTGTGGCTCCAACGATGATGTGTACAGCTGCCCATAAAACGTCTCAATCTCACTCAGAATCTCAGGTGTCCCGGAAACGATGCTGCCACACTCAAACTTCAGCTTTGACAGTTGGCTCTTACTGGCAGACAGATCTCTGGCAAAGACTTTGGAGCCCTGGTTCCGCTCGATCGCTTCTTTAATACAAGCAGTATTAAAGTTGCGTAAGTCTCGCCGCATGCATTTGGAGATCTGTCTGTTCAGTTGCCTGTATGCTGTCAAATCTGTTGACGATTGCAGCCTCATCTCCCGTCTAACAGCCATGAGATTAAGAGTGTGATCGGAGAGTTTTTGTGTTCTTCTGCGGCGGGTCTTGCAGAACTTAGCTCCGACCGCATGGACAGTTTCCACGAGCTTGTCATTCATATCGTCCACTGCATTGCAATCTTGTAGGCACTGAAAGCGGTTACGTAACTCGAGCTGAAAGTTTTCGGGATTCTGGATTAGAGCACGAGGGGGACGGAGCGTTGACTTCATTAGACGAGACCTCTCCAACTTAACGTTTAGGTTCAGTGTGCCTCTAACCATTCGGTGATCGCTGCCAGTTTTCACTCTTGCAATCACTGAGACATCACTGAACAGTTGGCGTCTGGTCGTCATAATGAAGTCAATCTCATTTTTGTCGAACCGTCGGGTCTCGACCAGGTCCACTTCCTGTGGGGCCGCTTCTGGAAGAAAGAGTTCATCATAAAGAGTCCCTCTTTCTCCATATAGTCGGCCAGCTGCTGGCCCCCTTCGGTTCCGTTGCCCTACTCCAAATCTTTCTATCTTCAGCTCACCGCTTTCTCTTGTGCCTAGTTTTGCGTTGAAGTCTCCCATCAACACCGTGTAGTGGGTTTTGGAGGAATGCATGGCTCTGGAAATATCCTCATACATTTCCTCCACCTGGGGACTGGGGGCCGTTTTTTTTTTTTGCGTCGTTATTCGTATACCTGCGTAACCACTGCATTATGACAGTTTGTGATCTTTGTCAAAAAAAAAAGAAAGCAGATATTAAGAAATATCAGCAACAGTAGGTTGAGGTGCTGTTAACCAACATTTTTTTCATTTATTTAAAGTAAGTAAGGTAGTAACGTAGGGGAGCACGAATTCCTTATGCAACCGCTGATGGTTGGCTACACGGGTCGTACGTTGTATCCACAAGGTGTAGCACACAGTCCACTTTACGGTTTGTGGATGCTAGGCCCTATAGACATCTATATCTATACTCGATTAAGAATCAAAAAATTTAGATGCGTTATTTATCTTGAGGACGAAGATACAAAGCCTCGTTATCAGTAAAAAGGGTCTCCGGTTCTCTAAACTCACTATGAGAAACACTATAAGCTGCTATCTTACGCATTTATTGTGAGAGGGTGGTCCTAAGCCGATCGGGCCGACTTACCCCTGCTGTAACCATGTGTTTTCTGGTGATCCCACTCTTCAGTCACACGGGGGTATACACCACGAAGTCTAATGCTTATGATACCTATTATCATGTTACGTATATTTTATATCAATGATATTGAATTTATAAAAGGAGCTCTCGAAAAAGAGTTAAACTATCTAAAAATTTATTGAAGGGGCAATTTGTTAGTTTATTGTATAGATAAATTATTTTCAATCGGCAGATATAGATGAAGACAGTCAAATATCAACAAGAGATATAAGTGAAATTGTAGATCGCCTAACGGGCGCTTCAAAGAGTCGCATTTATAGTCTTGACGATGAATCAAAAAGCAAAATAGCATACGTAGTAAGTATTTTTAAATGTAAAAAAAAATATCATTGTTTGTTACGCCTCGTCTACGAGCGGGGGTCTGCAAGTTTTAGCCCCTGAGCTACCAATATTGGGTACTAATGGTACTAACTGGGTATGTTAATTTTTTTTTCAGATCCTGGACGAAATGAAGTTAACTAATACTGGCGGTATTGGCCTAAATGAATTTAAAATTATAATGTCTAGGATTCCGGAGTTCAACTCGTCATTCTACTTCAGCTTATAAATAGCACCTCAGTGACTAGTGAGGTTTGAACTCTTGGATTTTCTAAATACGTGGTAGAGCCATATTGCTGCTATTTTGACTGTAGCATGAATGGCACAGATCGACCGGGGTAGGACCACGCTCTCACAGAATACCAACGTCAAATAGCAACTTAATGCGTAAGCATAACGTGTTTTGTATGATGAGTGTAGAGAACCGGAGACCCTTTTTACTAGTAACGAGGCATTGCATCTTAGTCCTCAGGATTGACAACAATTCGCATTTTGATTTTTAATCGAGGATAGGTGTAGATGTTTATGGGCCGCAGTACTCACTTACCATCAGGTGTTTGTGCTCGCTTGTCAACCTTATTCTATAAAAATTAATTATATAAACATCAAAAAAATACATCAAACATCTTAAACTAAGAATTACAATGGGCGGAATTAACGCCTCATAGTATTCTCTATTTCATAACGCAAGTAAGAGCTTACTACCAATGATTTCAAAAGGAAGGATAGGCCCATCTAAATATTTTACTCATAACTTTTTCATACAAGAAAAGTAGCGGTTCTGTCATAATACAAACGTCATATCATAACACGACGTAACCAGGGTCGGATTTCGTAGTATAATTATCTTAATTGTACCATTATTTCATAGTTTGTAGTATATAGTATCGTAATAACACTAAGCGAAAATACCATAATTTTACCTAAAGGTCGACTTGTATTATTATTGGGTCCTTTTACATTTTAATATTAACCGTACGATATCGAGAATTTCTGTATTGTCAATCTATGCTCGATGACATGGGAAAAAAGAAACATGAAACGTGATATAATTTTTTTAAATAGTATAATTTTATTTTCCATGTACAATATTTTTGAGGGTCTGAATCCAACCCTGGCCTAATCTTAGTAACGTAACTAAAGTAACTGTAAAATAAAACTTTAAAAATGCGTTTATACAATAATTTAATTGTAATAAAATTAATATAAGATTATTTACCGATGATACGATATCCCTTGTTTTTTTAAATATTTGTATCGTAAGTTTTGCATTCCTGAAATCTGTCTTGCGCGTGCACCACCGTCGACCGATTCACGTTGGCCCTAAACTGTAATTTTAGGGCCAGCGCACTGGTCCGTTTCAGTTGTTCGGTAGGCCCGGTCCTTACGCTAGTAATATATAAGTCAATGCTTACTACACTTATAAGTGATAGAAAATAAAATAGCTATTTTAAATAAATATAATATAGAAACTTTGAAAGACATCATGATCATGTCGAATCGATTTACGACAAATCAATATAATATAGTTCTTCTTTTTTTTCGTTTAAGTCTGTCGGTTCAAATCATTCACGGGAGTTACAAGTTAATAATTATTATAGTAAGAGTTCTCAATTTTATGAGTGGATACACAATCTACAACAAAAAATGTCAAATTTTTAAAATGCCATCACCGAAGTTGTTTAATAATTTTACAGTTTAATATTATTATTACTTATAAATAGAAGCACACAAAACATTTACCAAGGGAGTATACACTAGGTGAGCCAATATTGGAAATTTACAGGATGCGGGATATATTGGGTAGGATATCATGAAGGGAGTAAGAAAGATTAGGACACTCAAAGAACAGAATAGATGATTGACAGATCCTAGGTCTAGGCCACATTCACAGATTGAGCTATCCCTAATCCTAAGTTTGGCCAAGTGTACAGGAGTACAAGCACGACCAAAGCGTAGGCGGCAAACAGTAGAGGTGGTAGCTTTACTAAAGTGGCAATATTGAAAAAACCAGGGTTTTAATGGGATATTAATTATGACTTTGGAATATTAAATACATTTTAATAGTTTCTACTGATGCCAATTTCTTTCCCACGAAGACAGAAGGCTAAAGCCAGGCTTTGGCAGGAGGTCATATGCATAGAGGCATTTTTTAGGCAGGGAGCTAGATTTTGTGGCTTCTTTAGGTAAATCACCTCCAATTTTTTATCTGAATCCCGCAGCAGCTAGGGATTCTAGCCAAGACAATTTTCAGTCCCTTTTCATAGTAACTGTATAGAGAATTTCGAATATTTAAAATTAGGAGGTATCCTATCTTAGAGTGAAAAGGACACAATACTTTGAAGGCAACTAAGGGAGTCTGAGAAAATGAGAGTCCTTTTCAGACCGTGTGATTCTGCATATAAGACTGCCTCCAAGATAACTAAAGACTCACCTGTGAGACTAGATGAGTCAGGGGGAGAGTTAAAAATTAAAATAATCCTGTATTTAGGGATCCACACTGCAGAACCTACTTATCCCTCGTCACTTAACTTTAAAGCATCAGTGTACATAGTTAACCAATCACGTCAATTTTGGAGGAGGAGCATATTTAATTGGTTATTTGCTTCAATAGCTTTTTTTTTAATTTATTCTTATAAAGAATGTACATTATTTACCTACATTTAAATTTTGCCAAATTGTAAGCCAGTTTGTCGGCAATGCAAAGGTTTATCGTTTCACACTCCTTAATAACAATATCTGGTTTTTATAAATACTTAAATTAACACAAAAATAATTAAAGAAACATTCGCCACTATGGACACAACGACAGATAATGTTTCCTCAAGACGGATTTGAGCTGAGACTTAGTTACACTTTCGTCATATATATCCGCTACCCCATTACACAAAGTTAGAGTTATCCATTTCTTTGAACGCCGTCCAAAGTAATTTTCAGCCGTATGAGATATTTCCGCCCTTGAGTAATTTGGCGCTTCAGCATTGTATATGTCCTAGGTTTCTTAAGTGTTACCATACCATGCTGTTCTAATATGCTGACGGATTTTACTTTCATGTCTATGGGAATAATTTTGCGAATTTTAAATAACATTTATAATTTTTATCTGGAGCATTTTTCGTTTTAGTATCAACTAATATCTTTAAGAATCTTATCTGTATAGTCTTTATTTTGTTAAGATATGTTGGGAATGTGAGTCCATATGCGCCTAAGCCATATCCGATCGTTGCGTCTGCTAGTATTCTTATCTATTCCAATATTTAGAATTATGTCTTTATTTAAAATTAGAGCCTCGTATGAGTAAGGTGGGCTACTAAGGGATTGATAAACTGGAGAGTGAACATTGAGCAATTTAATCCTTTTGGGACCAATATGGTGAATCTCTGACCAACTGATACAAGGAATGAAGTTTGTAAAGGAGAGGATGGTCTAAATAACATGACGCTTTGAACAAGAACCTATCTGAGAGATAATGTCTGCGTAGAAATAAGGGGGGGGGGGCTCAACACGTTCAACTTGAAGAACAAGAATGGGAGTGGATTTCATGGCACCTCTTATTAGGCGACATTTTAACTGAATTTTGTCCAAGGTATTAAGAGCCATTTTGCTTCATGGCTCTAGTAAAAAGCAACCATAATCAAAATACCTAACTAATTAGAGCATTGTATAAAAGCTTTTATTCGAAGTAAGAATGGGAACCCCACCAAGCACCTGATGGAGATTAGATTACATTGAGGTTTTTTTTTCACATTTGGAAGCAATACAATTAAGAAGCAGTTTTAAAAGCAATTGAAACTCTGTAGCGCCCTAAAATTTTGATACCCTGTTTTTCAATATTGGCTACTTTATTTTTTGTAAGGATATGTCCAACTTTCACAGGTCTAATTGTATATCCTGCTGATGGATTAGATTCTGAGCGACTTAAATGTATAACAAAGGGGCCTTTATCGCCATCTACATAGGTACTTTTTTTTTCTTGAAAGTCGAGGTGGACACATGTATTTTGGTAGGAGGCAGAAGAGTGATCTTCGTGCCCAATTTTTTTCTTTGGGAAGCTGGGAAAGTATAAGGAACCCGTGAGTTTACGTTTAACAGAGTAAGAATCATTGTTTAAATCCGGTTGTTCAGCGTCCCCTACGCCGACATCCATCATCGTCACACAGATCTACATTAACTAAACATAAAATACACACAGATAACACAAAACATTGAGGTTCAACAAATCTGAATCGAAAAAGGATAAAATACTTATTCCACTAAAAAAATACGTGTAACAATCAATCACTCTGACAGCAGATTCTCTAATAAAGATCTTAGGTTCTTTGTAAAAAATCCAAAGAACCAAAATGTCAAATTCCCAATACATAGTTGAATTAAAAGCGTTAACCATTTTGTCAACGTCAATGCTTAGTCGTTTTCTTCTCCTCCCCTATGCTGTAATATCCTAATTACTTTTTTACCCAGTCCCAATTGTTTAATTGTGGTTTAGTAAAGAACTGCCTATAATTGTATTACAAAAAGTAATAGGCTTATAGGCAAGTATAGGCTTTAGATAAGGCAAGCGTCTGTTGAGCTTTCTGAACTGCAGTAACATTCCGTGTTTGCGGTTCGAGGACATTTTACATGTCCTCGAACTATAATAATTGTTATTTCCTGGTCTATAAATACATCTATTATGGATTGCGAACTTTTGTCTCCCCAGAACTAAGATGAAATGTCGCGTTACCAGTAAAAGGGGTCTACGGTTCTCTATAGTCAATCATCCAAAGAGTTCTTCCGAACTCCCCGGTCGAATCGACCCATTCGTGCTGCAACCAACACACCTAATTTTATCTTATTGATACGATATATAAAAATGTACTTTTACAATATATTATTGTTGTACTATTGTTTACGTACCTATTGAAGTAACATCTCATGATTGTAATATGTATACTATATTTACTTATCATGTAAATAAAATAATTAAAAGCAAATTTTAGATTCCAAATTAAATATTACAACTGTTTATTTCATGTTCAGTTATTTGAAATAAGTTGAATAAAATGTTATACAAACGTGTGTTCTTTATTAATTCGTAGAAAATTTTGAAAACTTAATATTTTATCCTTGGGAATTTCATTTTTCAATTATTAAAAAAAACTCTATCTTATGAAAGCTTTACAAGCTGCTTTATTGTAGCGACCAGCAAGAGTTCGGTCGGGCAACGCGGGGAAACCGCTAGTCCGACCT